CTGCAATGGGTGCTCTCTTGGCTTTGCAAATTTCGGTAAAGGATTTTTGCATTTTGTGTCATCGTGCAATCTTGCAAGAGTAAGAGAATACCGCTTTTAATAGTTRTCAGTGAAAACTCATCGAAAACACACATTGTCGGTCCGAAAGACTTAGATTCCACAACATACAAATGTGTTTTCAAAATGTTTTCAATGTCGGTCCGAACATAGTATTAGACGATATATGAAAACATCAATTGGAAATTGAGTTTGAATAGAACACATATATTATAATCCATATTACTGTTGTTGCTGAAATAAAGCAAGATTGATAAGGTAAGATGTATAAATATATTTGAAATATGTAGAAGATTTTAATAAGTTTGTGTTTACAGAAGAATGCCGAAATATTGTGTATTTGCGGGAGTTGAAGCCTTTTATAAAATCCATAATCTATATTGGTGGCTTAGGAATCTTTATTAATTACTAAATTGTTTTGTACAATTTTTTTTTTTGTATAACTTTTATTTAATTTTTAATGTAAATTTTTAAATATACTTATTGTATAATATTTGAATAAAACACGAGGAACTGCAATTGATGTGACCTATCGTCACAACTTTATTTTTAGCACTGATCCAAATCTGCAAAGAGCGGCAATTATATGCCTGCTTGTGCAGTAGGCACATGTTGAAAAATGCAATGATAATAACTGCACATCAATAGGTAATACGCTTTGTGTAGGTGCGAAAAGATGCGCTTATACTTAATATGTAGATATGTTTGTAAACTAATTAGGATTTCGGGAATAGAGCATATGCTAGCGGTGTGCATATATACAGTAGGCAGCAGTCAGCGTCGCTAACATATGTATGTACATGCTAGGCAGTCAATAGATGAATGCAAAGAACAAAAGAAAGAAGAAATAACACTACAATCAGGCGATATTTATCCCATAGGCGTAGCGTAGCCTTAGATGGGGGATTATAGCCTATACGATATTTCAATCTCGAACATGCTCCCCGGCTGAACCCTCGCGGTTCAGAATTTCTTCGTGTATTCCGGTTAGTCTTACCACCTTTTGTACARGACGTTGACAGTGGCGTTTGACGTACATGCCTTCATTCTCAAACCGGTCTCCATTGTATTCTATCGTAATGACGCGGACAAGACCATCGCTGCCAGGATGGGTGTCCGTGATACGCCCCATGTGCCAAGAGGCGTGAGGCAATTTCTTGTTTCTAATAAGTACGACATCTCCTATTTGGAGGTTTGGTTCAAGCCTCATCCACTTGCTACGGGCCTGAAGTGAATTCAGATACTCATTTTGCCAGCGTTTCCAAAATTGTTCGAACATTACTTGCAAGCGCTGCCAATAATGGAGGCGGTTGTACGGTATATCTGGTWATGGTRGCTCAGGACGGCAATTGATTGGTCGGCCAATGATGAAATCACCTGTCGTTAAGGCCAGTCCTCCTTCGGGGTCATCATGTAAGGCTACAATTGGTCGGGAATTTAGACAAGCTTCAATCCTTGTCAATAGCGTTGAAAGCTCATGATATCGCAATAACTGTTGGCCCATAATGCGAAGTAAATGCTTCTTGGCCAAGCGGACCGCTGCTTCCCAGATGCCGCCATGATGTGGCGCAGCGGGGGTAATGAACTTCCATTGAGTGTATGAGGTTACCCATTCCTTTACATCTTCACGCATTTGTCTGGGTGCCGTTGTCGCTGAAGAGCTTGGCACAAATACTGCGGCGACTAATAAATCGGTCGTAAACGTCTATGAAGGATCTTGTACTCAAATCCTCAGCAAGTTCTATATGGACTGCTCGTGAGGCCATACAGACGAATATAGCAGCATATGTCTTAGATGTTGTAGTTGACTTTCTGTTACCAATGCGGACATGAAACGGACCACAATAATCTAGGCCGCTGTTTGAAAGAACTGGTGCCGCAAGTACCCGTTCACGGGGTAACGAAGCCATTTGTTGATTCGTTGATGTCTCCGACACACGCTACATTTCCATATGTACGCCTTTACTTGCGAGCGCGCGTGAATGATCCAAAATCGTCGTCGTAGGTATTGTAACATTTGCTGGATACCACCATGAAGACATCGTCTATGGGAATCGGCAATTAATAAGTTAGCAAATGATACCCTGGGAATAATCATTGGATGTCATTGTTCGTTAGATATTTCTGCATTCCGGAGACGCCCACCGACTCGCAAAATGCCTTCAGGATCCACATATGGATTTAAGGCTAACAGGTGGTTTCGACTGTCTAACCTGGAATTTGATTTCAGAGCATTAATTTCTCGTCTATATGCCTTACCTTGAGCTTGTTTAACAGTTAGAAGCAGAGCCCATTCGTATTCTTCGGCTGTCACAATATTTGACCTCTGACCYTTGTAACGTGGTAGAAACCGTCTTAATCGTGCTGTTGTATTGAGGACACGACTAAGTATGCTAAATTTCTCAACGAGTGGAATTCGGTGACCATTGGAAAAAGTCATAAGACATTGGTGATGATCCTGGCGAATGGTTATAAGAGTAGGAAACGGTTGAAATTATAGAGTCTGTGCCTGGAGTTGCTTTTCCGTTAGTTCCGGCACAACAGGATCGTTTTCGATGCATATATAACAARAMGGTGGACCTGTCCACCATAGCGGATGATGCAGAAGGCCTGCAGGCGTAATTCCTCGACTTGCACAATCGGCCGGATTGTACTCGGAGCGAATGTGTCGCCAACATTCTACCTTGGTGTGGGCCTGGATGTATGCAACTCGATTACCAACGAACTGTTTCAAAACTGAAGGTTGTTTATGAATCCAATGTAAAACAATAGTTGAATCACTCCAGAGTGTGTAAGGGACGTCGTCTAAACGGAGCGCCCTTTGCACATGACGTAGAGTGACTACCAGTAGGTGCGCAGCACAAAGTTCCAAGCGTGGTATAGTAGTCTCTTTCAC